GATACTTTCAGGAGAGATTGCTACAAAGTTTGTGAGGTCAAATGATCAACTTGCAGATATTTTACCAAGTCTCTCGCTGGTCCTCGTATTAGTTATATATGTAACAAGCTCGGTACATATGATTTGTATGCACCGGCTTGAGGGGGAGTGTTAATTTACAGCATGTATATAGTGTAGTATTGTCCCACATTGGTAGAGGAGTAGTATGTCCTTGTATAGTATAACTATAAATAAGGACCTCTTGTGTAGTATTATTCATTCATTCAATATATCAATAACATATTTTCTCCCGTGCCTTCTCACATAAAGTAAGATATTTTTAGCATAAAATAATTGTTCTCTTCTTTTCCTTCTAATGTTCAAAATATTAAAACCCATTTGGGTTATGGGTCAAATTAAATTGTGGATGAAATGGGTGTAAATTGGGTATGGTCCATCTAAGCTTATGTGACACTATAATTAGAGTTTTTAATTAGATTTAATGCCATATCATATTTTTATAGGATATTTTATAGGTTTTGAACTAGAATGACTTTTAAGTTACAAAAGTAAAGTTGAGTGACTTTTGTGAAATAAATGATAAGTTGGATGACCATCAGTGAAATTAACCCATTTTTCTTTCAGTGACTTCATTTTGCAACATCTAACCAAGTTATAAAATTTCAAGGCATTAGTTTGTGAGGTTCGTTAATTGGAATCTGATCTGCTGCAATCTCCCTAGTGATAGACTAAGTTACATGAAAACCGACAGTAGCTTCATGTCAGACCTCAAGACATGAAACTTTTTAAATTCGAGGGACATAACTCGAACAAGACAAAAACAATAAACAGATATGTAAAAGGAAGAAAGTCGATAGCTGTGAAGTAAAAATCTTTTTTGTACTCTGCTAGATTGTAGTTCCAATGCTAAAAAAATAGGCTGAGCTTGTTCAAATGAAAATAAAGATTGACAAAGTACCCTAAAGAGTCCCAACCTCTAAGATAAACATGAAACAGAATGCTAAATGCCTATTGAAGTCTATAGTAAGTAATATGAATGATCCTGTAATTGGACTTCAGGTACCTCGTTGTAAATATTGATCATCCACACCTGGCTGTTTCCCTCTGTCCTAGATGAATAGGAGACAACCTGTGCAACGACCTAACAAAGCCCAAGATCAGATTAAAAACTGGTAACAAACTTGAAAACTAAATAGAAGATTGCTAAGCACTCTAGTGTCCAAGGGAGACAAATGAATGTCTCAAAAGGTGCATATATATATATATATATATCTTAAAACAAAAAGTTAAAAAAGAAGGAAGAAAAAGGACACAGTCAGCTTTTTCATTGACTCATGTTCCAGTCCTATTGATTGTCTCTTCTTGGATTACAGTATGACAGATATACGCAGCGTTAGGTTTGGTGTATGTGCTTCCTAGGTAGTAGAGGCAGCAGCGAGTGGTCTGGAAGAGGCTTTTAACAGGAGATATATTCTGATGGAGTTTCCATGTTGATGCCAACAGCCAAGTTGCTGCGCAATGTAGTCCCTTGCCATCTTTTGATGGTCTTTCCAGTCTTCCTTGCTTAAGATATTATGTAGTGAGTTTCTTATTTATGGGGAAAAGACACCTCCCATTTGGATAGAGATGATATACCTTTATAATGTCTTAGTCAACTATAGCATGTTAAATATCTGTATCAGTTTTACTAAAACTTGAAAAAAGTAATATTTAACTTGCTTCTTTCAGTTAAATATTATTATTTGTCAAGGAACTATCAACAATCTCGATCAGATGAAGCCATAATAGTTATGAAAAAAATATAAAATGTTAATTTGACTCTCAAGGTAAGTTGCTCGGTCTCTTCACTTTCGGTGCCGCACCACTGTCGACACAACATGTTTGTGGATCCGTATCGGATCTTATTAACTGATTTTGGGTACTTTGACCAAAATCGACGGAGAAATTCGAGACATATACAATGATTTTTGAAATCAAAACAAAAGCTATGGTGAAATTGAAGAAATGAACTTTTTTCGTCAACAGAGAGAGCCGCTCGATAAAGGAAGTCGGCTTTGGGAAAAAATAGCACGGCCCGCCCGTCTGCTGCTAGGTCCGTAAATGGCGGCGGGCGAGGGCGCCGCTATGCCCCTTAATGAATCGAATAGTCTTTCGACCTTCGTTTGATTCCATGGTCGACATAGATCTCAGGAGACCCGTCCACTATTACTACGAAAAGAGCTGGAAGCCCTCGCCTTCGACTATATACTGAAAAGGCCGCCATGAAGGGACATCACGACTATCCTTTCTGGGAATATCAGGCTTTATATAATCCTGATCAGTAATCAGTATATTTTAATATTCTGGATCCCTATGTGCTTTTTTTTTGTCATACTAGCGGCGACAGATCTATTAGTATTCACCATTTTGCTACTATATAACAAGGCCCAAGTTACATCGGGCTCTTTCTATTTTGAAATGTTTCATATGTCTTTATTGCTTGGTAAGTTTTATTGACTTCAAAAAGTCAATTTTTTCTTTTTCTCGGGCCGACTTCATACATTCTATTACTTATAGAAATAGTCATACCAATCTTCTCGGTAAAGAAGAACTCGTTGAAAAGAGGCCTTTCAGTTCATTCAAAGGCACTAGGGACGAGCCATTATTACAGACGGTCTGATTCTTCTGGAGTTCGCTCGTATCGAATTGTCCAAAAGCTCATGACCCCTCGATTCCCGAGAAACTCGGTGATCTTGAAGTTTTTCGAAGCCTGGTTAGGGGGCATGGGTTTATGAAGGCTAGGCTAGGCTTGGTAATANCCCCGAAAAAAATAAAAGAGGGCGAAGCTGTGGTTGAACTCTTATTCTGGAAATAAGTCGGGGCCCTTTTACCAAGTCTATTAGATAGGAGATGATAGAGGGCCAACTATCGTTGCCTTGCACAAGACGGTGCCCTTTCACTTTGAGTTCCTTCCTTCGTAGTCAAATCTGATGATACGCTTCTTGAACCCTTCTAAGCAATTAGAAGAGCGCGGAGTTGGACCTCCCTCAAATAGATGGATCTGGGATTGATTATGTCAGTCCTTTTCCTTTTATCTCCTTTTCATATTCTCCTCTTGATCAATATCTTCTCCTTCTCGGAATATCTTGTACGTTTTCCACGTGATGTCTCATAATTTAGACTTTTGTATAACTCTATTTTTGGATATTTGAATTATTTTTAGTCGATTCCTCACACCCATTTTCGTACCTTGATTCATACCCGCGAATCTCAAAATTTAAATCATGAAGGATTTGACCGCTAGATCCGCACCCGTAGAAGACACCCGCACCCGAGTTCGAACAACTTAGCTCTACAACAACAACATCAATAGACCCGGTGTAACCTCACAAGTGGGAAATATTCTATATAAAGTGGAGGTGTATTTTTAGCGTCTGCTGCTTGTTCAATTGCATTCAGTTATCTAGCTTCCCCATGTGCCATTGAAATCATTACTGNCAGTTATCTAGTTTCCCCATGTGCCATTGAAATCATTACTGCAGAATAATGTGGGTTTCATCGTGGCTATCTCTGATCGTCTCAGTTAATTCACTGATGTAGTATTTATATTTTATGCACCTACCCTAAATAGCTGCTCAAAGCTGTGATTTTTGTTATATCAAACATTCAGAGGATTTTTCATGGCAGTTTAGAGTGCTCAGGAGTATCCATGCCCATTTTTCGTTGACTTGGAGCTTAACTGCAAAAAGATCCTGGAAGATGGGGTATTATTTATAATGCATATTAGAGTTCTTGTCTCATTCTCATTTTGTATTTTTGCAGGAAGAGGAGCAACTCAGGAACAGTGTAATGTTCGATTTGCTCTATGTTCATCATCACCATACTTTTGCTCCATATATCATGTCGTACTATCATCACAATGATAAGGTGCCCCCAGGGAAACAAAGGCCATGGCTAATTGATGCAAATCTGAGGTCGGTCATCTGGTCTACTGCTGTAAATTTTCAAGTTTCTTTTTTTTTTTTTGGTCGTTTTTTTGCTGGTTCCTCAAGCATTCTTCTATTCCCTTTTTCACAGTGGTGGAATGAATGGATTCATTTGGTTATCTGAGCGGAATGGCCAGAGAGATAGGGTTTGTTCCCCACTCAATGGATTGGGAGATATTTCAAATAATAAGATTTTGTGAGTTCTGTTCTGGCAATTCCAGACCTCTAACCTTTTTTCAAATTGTGATTATGACATTTAAAATATTTCAACTGCTTGAGAAAGTACCTCTTCTTATCTTTTCTCTTGTGTGGACAGAAATATTACCTTTCTGAATCCAGTACCTCATAAGCATATTCCGAAGCCTCCAGAAGGAGTATTTATGCCCAAAAAGGTTTGTAAAGAATCCGTAATTTGCTTAGTTGCGGTTGTACATTTGGAGCATTCTGAAACAATAATACCTAAGTCATAAAATTTACTTAACCATTATGTTCTTGAGCATAGATAATCTAGCAGGAACATATATTGTAATTTTTCACTTTCTTTTATGTGAATGCGTGTGGATTCAAATAAGTAGGTTCCAATTCTAGTCTTATTTAGTCAGTGTTATTATTTAGGTGGTTTTTCCTGCAGTTGATAGAATACGCCCAACCCACTTTTTTACTTTAAAAAAGTGCCTATTCTTTCGAGCTTTTCCTGATCTAGGGGAGCTTGAATTTAATTAATTCTAATATTTATTCAATATCAGTAGTTTCCGCTGAGAGTTAATCTGCAGTTCATTTTTTCTTGTATTTTGAGGCACATGGCTTCGGTCTGCTACATTGCTTTTGCAGTTTGTGGTCTAGTGTGGTTGAGTGTGCTGCATTGCTGCTTTTAGGAAAATTGTGAGTGAAGCTATTGTAATTTGTACTGCAGATTTTGAGAGCTGTTGATATAAAACCTTTCCCTGTATTATGGCATGAAGATCATGGTACCCGGCGTCAGCTAGGCAAAGATAGGTAACATCTGATCTCTTTTTGCTGTGTCTTGTGGTATTTGCGTCTTTTCTTTTCACAATATTAAACCTGCAACAAGTGTTAACAGTAATCCTGCTTTTTGTGAGTAATGAGCTTGTGAATGTAATTTCTTCTTGCAAGTAATCAACTGATAATATGAATGTTTTCGGTCTTGTGTGTTATGCAGGGGTCCAGTACCTGGGGCAATAGCAGGGCCTTCCCTGGGAGAAGCAGCACATCGGTTGCTTAAGAACACATTGAATATCAAACCCGGTGGAACAAATTCTGGAGTATTGGAGCAATCATATCCTCGAAATTTCCCCGGCAACCATGTTCTGAATAGGCCAAGGCCAGCTGGACCGTCTGGCTATGAAGGTGGATTTTATGATCAAATGAGTTATAGGAATTTTTCTCCCAATCACCGGCCACGATTTCCAGGACCAGTTGGCCGCGCAAATGGTTTTTTTGAGGATCCTTCTTATTTATCTAGCAATTTTATGCATCGTGGTGCATCTGGAAATCCCAGATATGCTCTATCCCCTTATGAGTTGCAAAGCCCTAGGCAAAATTTCAGGATGCAAGACAGGCATTCATATCAAGATCAGTATCATAGCATGAGGAATGAAATGTCTGTGTTGACAATTGAAAGTGGTTCAAGAACGAGGCCTTATTCAGCTGTGCCAAGGATGCCAAATTCAGGACAACTTTCTAACGTCCGCCCACTGCCATTCACACAAAGTGTGGGTCCACTTCCTTCACCCCCGCCGCAGTGGATTAATAAACCTGCAAGGGGAACTACATCAATGCACTTAAAGCATCAAGAAACTTTAAAAGGGCCGGGGTGCGAGAAGCAAGTCAAGCAGGTTTACCAAATCAAAAGCCGGCCAACTCAGAGTCCCCAAGAAACAGGAACACAACATTGATGTTTGAATTGTTTTGAGCTTTGCTTTTCCCGTTGATAGTCAATCTCCATAGACGTAGTGAAGGATATCCGGATCCTACCATGAAGGATTCTTCTCGTCTCTTTCTTTTATCATTATAGATGGATGGAGCCATTTTATGTTCAATTGTAGCAAATATGGTGGAGTTCGTTTCACAGTCCCCATGTATGATAGGCCAGTTTGAGCTCTGGCAAGTATGTTGTACCCAAATGAATGACAATTTTTCTTGTTGACTGAATTGGCAGAACAAATCCTGCAGAGGTATAGTAGGATACACATAATCAGCAAGGTATGAATTTTTTTTTCCCAACCGGATGCCGGCTAAGTTTAGTTGGTTGTAACAATGTTCTGTCTATATGTTTTCTTTTCATATTTCAGCATCGAAAAAGAAATACCATTTCATGTGGTAACATGATTTGTGAATTTGGTTCCGTATGTACTTTTTGTGGTTATTGAATGTTGTGAATTACTATACTTGGCTTCTCGGTGAATTTGGATTGCTGCTGATTATGCATGATCAGTGTTAAGCTATTGTATAAAGTTAATCTTTCTGGAGCAAGGGATCGAGAGGAATAATTTGTTTCCACTCTTTTCCTTTCTAATTATTCTCTTAATGTAACTGAACAGAGTCTTCATAGTCCAACCAAAGCATGCTCTTTCTGATCTTGGTCTCTCTAAAACACTATCCCTGTTTTCTAAAAGCGAAGTTGTTTTTAGTGTTTGGCATGACAAGGAAAATAGTTTCTACCAAAAGAGAAAAAATGACCTGGCTTATGGACATAAGTTATTTTCCTTTATAACTATACCTGCGTACCAGCACTTACTTAACATGACTTGTTCCATTCAATAATTATTACGTACATTATTTCAATCTAATGTCTAAAACCTCACAAAACTTTATTCAATTTGCTGGTATTATTATTAATGTAGTCTTAAAAAATGGTTTTTTCTCACCAATAAAATTGTTTGTCGCTTTTTTGAAGAAAATACTTTTTAAGCAAACATTTTTTTATTGAAAATATTGTTTTCATACCAAATTATGTTTCAAATAATTTTTCAAAATTCTACAAGTTCACTTCATTTTAGAAAATAGTTCAAGATTCTTTTTTTTTCCCAAAGTGTAAGGGATGGAACCGTTCATCTCCGAACAATAGTGGAAGGTTTCTACATCATCATTCTTTATTTGTAAACTCTTTTTTAGTTCCATATTTTTTGTGTTTGCATTTTTAAGTACTTTATCATACGATTGTTTATTAGTTTTTCACTTATGTCTTTGCCTATCACTCCTCTTTTAATATAATATAAATAAATATAATATACTCCTTAAATATAAATTATTTTAATACTCTTATTTTTTATTCAAAATTGCTTTATTATTTGAATTTATAAAATAAATATTATTTCGACCGCTACAAATCATCTTGGGGTGGACTTACTACTTAGATACTTTCAGCAGTTATCCGCTCTGCACTTGGCTACCCAACGTTTACCGTGGGCACGATAACTGGTACACCAGAGGATAATGTAGATCAATCAAATTTGCTTTATTATTTGAATTTATAAAATAAATATTGTTGCAACCACTACAAATAATGTAAATCAATCCAAACTTAGAGATATTTTTTTTCATCATCCAAACTTGAGATAGACTTAAGAATATTGGTTGCATCTCAACATAATAAATTAACAATCTTTTAGCAGGATTTTACTTGATTGCTTGAACTTTTTGAAACTTATAAACATAAATTTGATATACTATTATTTTATAAATTATACTGATATTTTAAAATATTATATTAAAATCATAGACAACATGAAATAAAAATTTTCTTCTAACTTCCCAATAATTTGAGATGGCTCATGATCTTACAAAATAGTTGGTTTATTATTTCTCATTTTGGCCTCTTGACACATTATAGAAAGGAAAACTAATGGGATAATACATAAAAGTAATGCCCAGAATATTTTTCACGACCCAAAATTCTACCTCAGACCGTGATGGCGCCTAGCTGTACTTGCTAAGCAAGCCAACTCGCGATCAGCAAACTAAAGTTCAGTTTCCTTTAATTAACAGAGATATCATAATAAATGCACGAATAATCTCAAAGCAGTAAAATACTTTATACAAGTATAACATGGTCTAAACACGATCTTAAACAATACAACCCCCAAGAATTAGGTGACACAAGTACATGAGCAACTACTGAATAGGTACATGTATGTATACATAATCACAACTGTCTTTAAGAAAGAAAATAGATAGGAAATAAATAAGGACGAGGACTCCATGTGTTGCAGATCGAAACTGTATGACAGCTTACCACGAAACCTCCAATAACACATTCAGCTCAAAGGGTACCGCAATACCAGCATCAAAACATGCACAAAAATATGCAAAATTGACATGGTGATGAGAGCGCCACATAAGTTGAAGCAGTGGCGGAAGAACATCCGCCGAGAACACGGAGATGAGATTCGGACACACCTGGGGGCACTGACCGCTTTGCTAAACATCCGAGCAGATAGGGTGCTCACTCGCCTGCTGATAGCTTTTTGGTATGCGGCTAAGGTGGTGTTCAAGTTTGCTGATTGTGAGTTAGTACCGATATTGGAAGAAGTTACTAGTTTCACGGAGCTGGCATTCATATGGATGAAACCAATACTACCAGTCACTATGCCTGGTTACAGGTTCTTGGATGTTTTGGGTCTGGCTAACAGTCGAGGTTTGAGAAATATCGAGGACGGATGGGTGAGCCTAGATTAGATGTTCAATAGGTTCGGACATCGTGAAAGCTATGAGTGGTATTCAAGGAAATTTCAGTGTGATCAAGCAACGTGGGAGAGTCTCAGGCCCATCACTTTCTTAATAGCACTGTTGGTCTTCCCGCAGAGAAGGGCTCGGATCAACATCAATTTATTGTCCGTGGTTCTGGCGACCTTCCATGGTAACCTTCAAGCTACTGTGGTGTCGATGGTGCTAGCTGAGATTCTAAGGGCTTTGTCTACATGTGCACGAGGGTATGATTTCTTTAAGGGTTGTAACTTACTGCTTCAGATCTGGGCCACAGAATATTCTTTCCAGCGAGAGGACACCATTGACTACTTTGTGGGTGTCAGCAACATGATCCGAAGCCATACGAGAGGATGATACATTAGGTCTCCCCACATGGACAAAAAGAGTGGATGGAAATACTGACTAATCTAAGTGCAGAATGGGTCAATTGGAAGCTGTCATGGTTAGGCGGGAGGGCAATCTTAAGGACTCCTCAGAAATACTTCATTGAGCTGAAAGGACTTAAGGGCATTCAGCCATACTCACCCTTACGGGTTCTTAGACAGTTCGGGATGATTCAGGATGTGCCTCTATGGATGAGGACAGTGCTATATGAGGACGAGTACAATGGATAGATTCCAATCCCAAGGATAAGAAGGCTCCAAGAAGAGTGGAACGATCTGGTCACAATGCCTATGGGTCAAAACTCGTGGTGCACTCCGAAATATTATGTATGGATTAACGAGGAAGATGAGCTAGCCCAACCAAGCAGAGAGGGTATATCCTGGCTGAAGGATGCAGTGGTTGCTTTGAAAATCTACCATGAGATTCTGCCACATTACCTTGTAACTACCTCGATGCATAGTCAAGTGGTCCCAGGATCTATCGATCACATGCTGCCACCTACTGAAGCTGATGACCGAGTAGTAGCGTGCATCGAGTTAGAATACGAGATAGAGCTGGAGGGAGATCTAGGAGAGGATTCTGAGTTCAACGATGACGAATAGGAGTTTGAAGAAGATCCGGAGGAAGAGCCAGAAGAAGAATAGGAGATGGGAAATGATTCTGGGGATGGTTACTAGAAGTTGGTTGATTTCCTCTTCTTTTCCACTTTGTATCTTTATCCCCAGTTTTCTTGTTTTTTCCCAAAGGGCAAGTTGTTTAAGCCCATGCAGTTCTAGGAATATCAGAAACAGTGATGTGACCTTTGTTCCCACTTATCTCAATCAAAACATTATCAATGAAAACAAAGCTTGCTTTGGATCTAAATGTGTCAAGTCTAATTGTTTGTCAAACATTCACGATTTAGGCCTACCTATGGCAATGAGAGGTCCCATGAATTCTAGGAAAACGCACTAGCCTAAATACATGAATTAACTGCTCTTTATGATCTCCTGCTTGTATAAATGATGAAACTGACTTCTATTTTCTTTTTCTTTTTCTTTATTTTTGTTTCTTACTTTATTATTACTCCCCAAAAGAAAGTTGGTTTGTGTCGACCCAAAACTGGCGGAACCACCGTACAATCTAAGATCAAAAGAAAAGATGTATGCTACAAAAAACTCGACTGAACATGCTCTGGTCATAGGGCGATCGGGAGAGAAGGACGATACAAGGAATGATGAGCACGTGGCCAGGATGGCCCAGGAAATGGAGTCTTTAAAGGAGGAAGTACAACATATCAGGGAACTAGCACATTTGGATGTGACAACGCTCCCTCAACCACCTCTCTTTCCTTCTTTGGATTCAATCCCCTACCACTTTCGTTCCACATCACGCCAAACCAACAACACCCCAACTTCAGTCCCCACCACTCAAGTCATACCTCCAGTAACCCCCGCAAACCCACCAAATCCTCCTATCCACACTCCCTACGTACCACAATATGTTCAAACACCACAAAACCCGCCTATTATCACTAACACAACTCATACCCCTCCTCGTGACAGAGTCACTTTTACCACTCACCCAAATCAGCACATACTCGTGGCACATACCGCCACCCATGAGCGATATGTTGCTCTTGTATATGTCATTTCTGAACCTACCTTTTACAGCGCCTATCACGGTTAGGTTGCCTTATGAGATTGACCAATACGCGGATGAAAGGGAAGCTAGGCGTAAGGAAGAGGAGTCAGCGTCTGAGCAGCTACAAATCTTGAGAAAGCAAATGGAGAACCTCCAAGTTGCTCGGGGAAGTGAAAGTTTGGACTGCGAGGATCTGTGTATCCATTCAGATGTGGATATGCCAATGGGGTATAACCCTCCAAAGTTCGATATCTTCGACGGGACAGGTGATCCCTATGCACATTTGAGGGCATATTATGACAAGTTAGTTGGAGTGGGAAGGAAGGAGAAGCTGAGAATGAAGTTGTTCATAAGGAGCCTGACGAGAGAAGCACTTACCTGGTATACTCGACAAGATTCGCGAAATTGGATGACCTGGTAAGATATGGCAGAAGATTTTATGAATAGCTTTCGATTCAACACAGAGATCACTCACGATAGGTTCGCACTGGTAAATCTGCAGATAAAGCCATCTAAGTCGTTCCAAGAATACGCACGTCGGTGGAGGTCAGAATACGCCAGGGCACAGCCTTCGTTGGACGACAGTGAATTAACCAAGTATTTCATCAGGACCCAAGAAGGGATATACTTTGAAAAAATGATGGGAATGATGGGACAAAAATTCCCCAAAC